ACGCGTGTATACTGAAGGTGGTGTTGTTGACAGAAGACTAGTAGGTGGAACTCAGGATACTATGAACTGCAACCAACTCGAAAATATCAGAAGACGAAGCGGTAATTCAGAGATTTTTTATTGTTCTACTGACAATAAACTCGCACATCAAGACAACTGAAGCACAAATGGTTGTAGCACCAAAAGCTATAGTTTCAAAAATTCACGGGTTCCAACGGTTATAATTTCAAATATTGCAGCCTAAACGTCTACAAATAGACACCAATATTGACTCAGTCACTGCACGAATAACTCTCTGAAGAAACAGACTCACACTCTTCGACCAAAATCAAAAGTAAAAACCAAATGGTTCTAAACAGAATCATATTGATAATAAACTGTTGGAGAATTGCAAAATTATCGTTTTATTGTTCTGTTAAACAAAATGTATCAGATAAACATGATACAAATATAAGGTTTTAAAGGTTGACGGTATAGACGTTCGCCAACAGTACTGAGTATATTAACGCAAGATCTTATACCAACAACTTCTAACTTATTTGATTCTCGTGTACCAAAGGCAAAGGAAAAGACCGCAATTGATTATCCAAATTACGAGATATATTTTGGAACCAAATCGCGGATTGAAGCGGAAGTTAAGCTAGCTAGTTATCGTGCACGAAAGTGGCACGACGGAGTACCAAATGGCGGGAATGCTTGATCGAAAACCTTCAGCTAAACAAGTCGACTTAAACTCTGAGGGTCAGCATCCAATATTCACTGATGATTCTTATGGTCACGATGTAATTCTTCTCTTAGACATAATCTATTCTTATGGTCAATAATTTTGGGGAATTATTTACCACTACAAGGTTATCTGATATCCAAACACCACAAACGCAATGGCTGAACCCAAAATGTTTCACGATTAACAGGACTGTGAATTCGAGCAAAAATATTCAACTCTGCAATGAAGCACAAACGGTGTAATTAACACAAAATGTAAAATGGTATATAAAGTACAACATTAGTGTTTCAAGGTTAAAATTAGATGTAACAAGTATCGTTCATAATAATACTTCTTATAGTATTGCTCTTGTCTTCTGTTGGACAAAAAGGAACTAGATCACAGTAGGGATTGTAACCTCCAATGAAAATGAAACTAGTTTGAATATGCCAGGTCATTGGTCATTCATTCAATATTAACAACATTGACAGCACCGTTGGATTAAGCTTCGAGGTTTAAGCACTTGTTGTTCCTCCTAGGCAGGTCTGTCGGTTGCTGGATTAAAGTGTAACAGTTGTGAATGAAAAGTCAATAGTAACTTACGAGGCCATTAAAACTGAGGAGATGTTTCACAGTTCCTGGCTGTGGAAAGTTTAGAACTTTCTCGACTTTACTGGGCATAGGTGTTATGATACCAACATCCATCCGGGTATTTGTCTGTACGTGATTTGGATTACGAGCCCTATCGCGGGTTGCTCCATTGATATGATTTAATTCAGTGGTTGGCGGAAATGTGAAGTTTGCTGATTTAAGTTGTCTAGAAACTTTACGCAACTGTATCGGTTCAGTAAATACGGGAAGACCATTTACTCATCGAGAAATCTCCAGTGACTGGTCTCAGTGGTACTTTTAGCATTCTGTCAGCCAAAGCAGCCAAGTCATGGATTACGACTCCTTGAAGTGCTACAAGCACAGTGTGCATATACCTTTGGCAGCTTAGATAAAAAACGTTTAAACAAATTATGCGATTATTTTACATTCAGTAAATATAACAAGTAATTTAAGAAGTGCCTTATCAAATCCAATTATTATTTTGAAAAAAATAACGTTCTCTCTCTTATCAGTACTCCCTATTGTGAATAATCAGAAAGCCTTTTATCTGCACAAACGAACTTTATATTGAACATATGATCAGTTTGGTATCATTAGGAGATGAAAGATCTGTTGCTGACATTTACATGAAAAATCTGATGGAAAGTCACTGTGAAATGAATGGCCTGTGTCTTGTGAGTCACGCAACCGTATTCATGCAGATTACTGTGATCATTTCTTCAACTCACACTCTGTTTACTTTGAATTCTTATCTTGAATGTACAGAAGTAATAGATACAAAAAGTCTTAATGGAAAACTCACATACACAGAGCTATGAGGAAGACCTTCAGCTACAAACAACTACTCAGTGTCTTAGCTGTTGACAGAGGTACTCATTTTATTGGGAAGAATTTCTACAGCTGACTTAAAGGTATCAGTTGGCATCATCTATACACAGTCTTGAGTCACCCATAGTTAAGTGAGTTGGCAGAAAAATCTATGTGAACATCGAATGGCGTCAAAGCATCAGTGAATTGTAAAAAAATCCTGAAAAACGGGAGAAGTGTATACATAATTTTTGACTTCAGTATTGTGACATGGAGCACATAAACATTCATGAAGTTTCTGCTAGACTCTTCCATTATGAAATTCTTCCACCAGATTTAATGACTATGACACTGTGAAATGCTGGTAGTGCTGTTACCTAGCTACACTATAACATGCCCTTACCAAACGTAGTTTGCCCAGTTACTTAATAAGTCAGCAGTCTCTCTGATTTGTAAGTACCGACAACAAAGAGGCAGTCCGAAAGACCTATTTATTAATGAGCTCCGATAAGCAGTACATATGAACAAAACAAAAAGTTAAGATTATTCAGGGGAAAAGGTAATATAACTTATTTAGCTAGTATGGCTGACCTACTAACTTAGAGAATGTGTGTGTTAAGAGCTCAAGGATAAAGAACAAAAGTGGCGTTCTAGCCAGTCCATATATGTGGCAATCATAACACTGGAAGGTACACAACAACTTCGACTGATATGCATTATTATATAGAAAATTAATATTGACCCTCTATGGGAAATCGAATGATGGAGACTTCAGACCTCAAAACTCTTCTTTTAAGAAAAGAACACGTTTATCAGAAGAAAATAATTGAATTAAGTCGTTCCATTGAAAATTCTAACGTTTCGGTTTCTAATCTTCATATTATAAATAATTTAGAAATAGTTACGAATGATTTCGATGAAAATATTGATACAAGAATGAATTACAAAACCTGAGATTATTGCAAGCGATTTCACATATCATTATAAACATGCGGTGGACGTGATGACTGACTGCTGACATTACTGCATTAAGTAAATGTTCACCGCTATTTGTTTCTATTCACTCTAATGCGCAATACAAATGATTCTGCCGAATATGAATTTCTGGCTTCTGTCCTCTTCGTGGTATCGAGTAGTTACAATTGCAAGTAAATACCAGAAAAATTTTAAGGTTAGCCAAGAGAATTATCTAGAAAATTAAAATATTTGGTGTCATTCCAGTTAATTGATTCGCCTCTAGTCATAAATTTTGTTCAGTAACTATAGCAACACAGAACACATAATTTGGAGGTTTGTTTAGGCATGAGTTTGCCTTGGTTAAAAGTTGTTTTAAAACAATGTAATTGTTGTAAAATACCTAGCAACTTAACGACATCAATAAAGTCTGTTCAATGAAAATTAATTCCAAGTCGACTGTTAAAAAAAATACATTTTTCACAGTAAAAGCCATTTGAGGTCACTTAGAAATGTCCTGTTACGTGAAATATAGAGTTATAAATAATGAATACATATAATAGCAAAATAAATGAAAAACTCTGTATGACTAGTATTATTATTATTTTTTGTGAGTTCTGTGGAGAACATAGGGCTTCAGAAGCTCATTTTCATTCCTTTTGCTCAGGCTCCACGAATACCAACACACTTTCACTTCCTCTTCATACGATCTTCTCCATGCCAACCTCGGAAGCCCAACTCTTCACACCCCAGTTGGATTACGTCAGAGAGCCTGATGTATGATGTCAGTCTATGTTCCCCCGAGTGTATATTCAACTTGCCTACATTTCGTTCTGCATATTTATTGGTGGATAGGTTCATGGTTGGATGTCTGCCAGAGTTCCTTGATGCCAATCCTTTCTGGTCGTTTGACTTTCAGCAGGCAGGGAAGGTATTTGATTATAAAATTATAAGATGCGTCAAACAAATAACAAAAAGCAATCATCAAAACATAAGTAAGAGAGGATTCAAAACGTATATGATGTTTTCACATAAGAAGTAATTATCAGTGGCTAGACATAGGCTATTTAATAAAGGTTGAACTGGGGTGAAGCTTACTTCTGCGAGCCGATCAGGAAATAAACCGCTATAAAACATCTGAAAAGAATGTGGAATGTTGTATTTTGTTTAAGAAACAATAATGATAAAGAACTAACTGAGATTAAAAATTTAACACATTTACTGAACCAGTTACTGAAAATGAAAGTGAAAACTTAGTGAAGAAAGTAGTCTTTGCAGACTGCTTTTAAGGACTTGTATATACAATAAATGATGGATTAATTATTTTATTCAGTTTTCAGCCTTGGTTGATCATGAATGTAATCGACACTCTTAACACTTAACATCTACAAACGTTGTTAATGTAAATGGTGGCGTTGGTGGCACAGCAGTTAGGATTCTCGCCGACCATGCACATTGCCCAAGGTCCGATCCCTTGCCGGGGCATACCTGATATCAATGGTTGGCCCGCAAAATCCGGGTCACCGATATCACATGCTGAAAATTCTATACTTGTAACAAAAATTCGGTGTGGAATCAAACTATAATCAGAAATCAGAATAAATTAATTAATTAAAAAAACGAAACTTTATATAAGAGTATAAACAACAATACCTCTGAAGAATTCATTAATTAAAAATGATGCACAAGAAATATCTCAATTGCACTGTGATATTGTGACTATTCTCCGGAATCTCAGTGGACTTGTTTAGTACCTCACTAAAATTTGCATTCCATCAAAACACCAATTCATCTGTGAATATTTTCAGAGACAACCCTCTCTCCCACCGTATATCCAAACGGTTAACTCATCAACGCGTGTATAACGAAGCGTGAATTTGGAGCAGTTATGCTTCAGATGTACTCTTACTTTATTTTATTCATGACTAAACTGAATAATATTCAACAAACTGAATTACTTATGCAACTTATACGCTCCTATGGTTCCAATAGGGTAAATCAGTAATGCTACTCGTAATATCTTGTGGTTTTTAAGCAGATTTAATTAAGTGGGAATGAACAGCACACAGAGGACCATAAAACGCAGAAACGCCTTGACTTTATAATGTTTACATTGTCCTGCAGAACACAGCTTAGAATGAACCTTAATAATGTTGTAGTAAAAGTTATGAGACTAGTCATGAAGGAGAGCTTAGGATTTCAACTCCATTCTCTAATCTGATTGCACCTGAACAAGTTGAACAAGTGTTCAGTTTATCAGAAATAAAAATTATTTACTTAGTTAATACCACTAAATTTAGTTTAGAAAAAATTATAAAGGAATTCTTTATTGATTTGATGAGATTAGATAGTTGAAGGCTATCGGCAACAAACCTTGAACCTAGGTTTCGTGCTAGTTGGCACTCACCAGTCAGCAAGGCGTATCCGCAACCTTGAAGGAACTCACGTCCTTTTTGAGATTCGAACCCACATCACGCAGTGCAGCAGTCAGAGATGTTACCACTAAGCTATCCGGGCTCGCGATTGACCTCCTGTAGGACTCTAGTGGGTATTTCCATTGGACACTAGTAACTAGTGTGACGTCCCAAGTCCTTTCCTTGGTGCCGACTGAATTCTATCAGTCAGGTTTGCAATTCTTTATTCAAAGCACAATTTCTCATCAGGACGTGGCTAAAACTATGTATTGGACAAATGTAAACACAGAGAAGTTTTTGAAAGCTAGAGAAACTAGTTATTATTGCCAATTTTTTTCAGGTGATTTTTCTACTAACAAATACTCGTATACATCTTTTAGTTCCCTATTCCTCATTCCTTGGTGTTCCAGAAAAAATATCGATCTTAAAGTTTTGTGGTTTCAGTAGCGGTAGTGATGTATAACTACGGGGTGGGTTTTCTGGTTTGATAATCAGCCTTCTCGTTTTTCCGGGTTTACTACAGGAAAGGTTTGGAGTGCCTCATTCTGAGCTCGAAATGGTACCATGGAGGTACCACTGAATCTTACGACCAGAAAAATGGGACCATTTTCATGAGACGAACTCATCACCCCACAGTTAGTATGACAAAGTTACAGAATAGTGATCTGGGAAGAAAGAACTCATCAACAACCTTCAAAGAGCCAACTCCCTACAGTACACGCCTTTTTTCAGTATTACTTTGCGAATAAGATGTGTTTTTTCACCTGATTTCCCTACTTTGATCTGATTGGGAGTTACAAGGCCATTTGTGAGTCTGTTTCCGTGCATAACAATGTTTTCAGCTTGGCGACTAATATTTCATAGATTCCTGGAATTCCCATTTAATTTATTCAACTTAGTCAAACAAAAATCAACATCAGAAATTATATTTGCATTTGCTGTGTACTACTGATTTATCGGTATAAGTAGTTGAATACTACTCACGTAGGCCCAGTGGTACTTTTCAGGCAGAGTGGCAACTAACCACCCATATCACTCAATCAGTAATATATGTATCATGCATTGGTATTTGCTGCATTAGTTACTATGTATAGAATGAACCAAATAACCCACTTTGATCTGAATAATCTTGGTTTCTAGTGGAAAATGTGATGAAACTTCACCTGGAACTGTGCAAATTTTAGATGGCGAATTTGTTAATTTGTGAATTGTGACATTTCCATTTACGTACTTAATGTTGAATCCACAAAATATGATACATAAGATCGCTAAGCTTAGTTTCGTCATTCTGGAAGTGTCTCAAATATCTGCTCACCACAATAAAAATATGACGTATGTTAGTCGACCAAAATAATACATGATATGTCTGTATATTCATTAATAATTAAAAATTTGTGTTTATATTTGACTCAATAATTGAGACAAAAACACTTAATTGCATATTCATCAGCATAATAAACTATGTTGATTCCACTGTCATGTGCGTTTTGTTTTCTATAGAACTGCACTTTAGACCATTCGGTGTAACATAAAGAGCAAGAAAAAGCAAGAGAGACAACAACACAAGGAGAAATTCTTATCTTCAGTGACTTGACTAAGATAGGAAGTAAGAAATGAGCAACCTCTTCCTACTCGAGGCTTCTATTATCTGGGTATAGTTATGGTTTGTACTGTTGAAGAGTTGTGAACTTCGACGACACCGCTGTCTGGTAGCCCACCTCTCAGTTATCAGTACTTCTATAACTGATATCAGTTCGTAGTCTAACTTTAAATCAATCAAACCCCTACAAACCAACTTTTTGGAAGTTTATTATACTAACTGTTTACTCTGATGGGTGCGATTGGGTGCTTGTCCTTCCTAAAATACTGATGATTATCAGTCTATGAAATCTTTGTTCGTGTCCTTGTATTCATTTTTCTTCGTGAATTTCTTCAACGACAAAGTAGTGTAAGTTGTTGTGAAGAGAACAGATGAACAATCAGTCTACATATGCACCAACTGTGTTAGCCAGTTTCTAATACGTTCAGCAGAACTTCAAAAAGACAAAATATCACCGGAAAGCGAAAAGAAGAAACGATTTCCCTTAATTTCACAGTATCCCATCATTTGCAGACTACCTGAATTCGAAATTGTTATAAATGATTGAAAATAACAAACCTTAGGTGGTTAAATTGTAGCACCAAGTTTATTGTGAATTAAGCAATTATATCCTACAGTTTATAAAAAGTAAAACTTAAGTCTCCTAAACCAAGCTGTTGTCAACTTATATATAATACTAATTAGAAGGTTTAGGGGGTGCAAAGGGGGGGGAGATGAATGAAAGAGAGTACAATGATTATTATTCCCTTAAGGGGTTACATGACAAGCTGATAAAATGTAAAATTGGAAGCAGTTGGATGAGAGGTTATACACCAGTCAAATGAAGGGGGTATCTAACCAATTTCTTTTTGTCTATTACTACTGAGATGCACTCTGAACGTTCAGTTCACATTCAACGACACCATCTACAGACAAAAAGATGGTATTGGAATGGGATCTCCGTTGGGTTCACTACTATCAGACTGCTTCGTGGAAAGCCTCGATAGAGGTCCACTAAAGCCAAGCATTGACAATTTACGACATTTTCATCATTTGTGATAACAACAACGACCCCAATCCGCTGCTGAAGATTTTTAACACTTCCCATTCGGCAATACAATTCACTCTCAAAATGGAAAACGAGTCGAAAATTCCGTTTCTTGATGTGGAACTAACAAGAAGAACTGATGGGAGTCTAAGAGGATCGATCCATAGAAAACCTACGTGGAATAGTCAACTAACAAGCTTCTATAGCTGGGTACCCATTCAACAAAAGCGGAATTTAATCAAATCACTTGCCACCCGCATCGGACGCATCTGTAGTCCCGACGTTCTGGAGACAGAATTAGATATTCTAAGGGAAATCTTCATCCAAAATGAATACCCAATAAGATTCATCGACAAAAATATCAAACCAATAATTCAGAGAAACGAGACTTTAATTGCGCTTCTACATGAACTTGAATTTCAAGGGAGATTTAGCAAGAGATATTCTCAAGAGAAGGATCACATTATCTCTGAGAACATTCTTTGCAGCAACGCTAAGAATAGTGTTCTTTAGTCTCCCACCGATCTGTAGAAGCCTCAAGGACAAGATCTCGCATCTGACCACTTCTATGTGCATATATCAGTCCACCTGCTGCTGTGGAGCTAGGTACATCGGTCGTTCGACTCGCACATTGTCCAAGAGGATTCAAGAACACTATCCAGCATGGTTGCGAAAAGGCAATAGTGGTGCAATAAGGAGTGCGATAATTGAACACCTGGTTAACACTAATCATTTCATTTCAACAAACGCCTCCTTCAAAGTAATCTACAGAGTCAAGAATAACCTATCAAAGGCAATACGGTTTCGTCTTCTTTGTATTGCTGAAGCTCTGACCATTCACATCGAAAAACCGGAGCTGTGCATACAAAAGAAGATTACTCAAACACTTCTACTGTCATGGTAACAATGTTTTGATTTGATGAGTTTTTTTATTTTGATGACTTAATTTTGTTACTTTGCCTGTTCTTTAGTTGCTTAGAATTCTTGTATTCATTCAGAACTCTTACCTAATCTACTTTGCTTCTATGTACATCCTGAGTAAAACACACTCATCAGACTATTCATATTATGTGGTGATTGACTGTTTCTATCTCTGTATTGTTTAAATACTTACTGTTGATTGTTAATATTTCTTATATGAATTGAAATATAATTCCGCTAAATACAAATTCCTGAATTCCGCCCTCTCTGTGTTTTGTTTGGATTCTTGTAATTCGGTCATCTCGAAATACTAATACTACGATTACAAAAATTACTACAAATTGGCGTCGCGATGGAACTAAATAACCTGGAAAATTTCCCTTAATGGTTCTCCGCGGGAGATTGCTGATTATTTGGAATGCTTCGATGCGTGGTGCATTTCCAAGAATGTTCGGGATGACAAAATACCAGCACATTTCATCACTGCTATTGGGCTAGATGCGTATAGCCTAGTGAAGACTCTGTCGTTTCCAGATAAACCAATTTCTCTGCCATATGTAAACTCCGTGAACTTCTGATAAATCACTTTCATGTAACTACATTTGAGACCAGAGAGAGGGCTCAATTCAACAAACTGGTTCGTGCTCCCAACCAGAAGATTCGAGAGTTCATTCTTCAACTTCAAATTCAAGCTTCAAAGTGTAACTTTGGAGATCAGCTGCATACTCAACTACGTGATCGTCTAATTGCTGGAATCAATATTCCTAAGTTAGAGAAAGAGTTAATTCAGATTCCTTCTTGTACCTTTCAAACTGCTAAAGATTTATGTATTACATATGAAGATGTCATAATGAATACTCTGCTCCCACTACGTCAGTATCTGATGTCATGCTTTCTAAAGTCGAAAATACAAGTGGTCATGGAAAGCAATCCAAACTGCCGTCCACAGGTAATAGAATGCAGCGAGAGATCAAAAACATTAAACCGTGTTTTTCCTGTGGAAAGTTACATCTACGAAGCACTTGCCGTTT